GTTGATCTTATAAACATGCTAGCTTTACAAGTGATCTAGGAATCTTACAGATAAGAGACCAGTCATTTAAATGTAACTCTGCTTTGCTTTAAGAGTTCAAATTAGATTTTACAAAATATATTTCGATGTTATGTTTATTTTTAAATAGCAAAGTATAAGAATTAACAGCAAATCCCCTCATATATATAGCCTTTGGCTTTTTTCCAAGCATATACAATCCTCCAGAATGCTCACTTTGTAATCTCAACAGACCACTTTGATGTCCACTGTGGTGCATCCTATCATGTACATTCATTTCTCAATTCCCTCTGTGGATAATGGGTTGTTGACGAAAGGATCGCCCTTTAAATGTAGCTTCCATTACAAATTTGTCCCCAATCAGTTCCACCCTTAATATTTTCACAGAACGTTACTATTTTAAATATAGTGTCGTTCAGTTCTACTCTGCTTTTTTTTGGAACACAAAATTAATTTTGAAGTTGCCCCCACACGCGTATTTGTCCCTGTTTGATTGATAATAGAAATTTTCATACGGGGGACCTTTCATTTTGAGATCCAATTAAAAGAGCCACATTGTTGCTGCAGTTGTTAACCAATACATCTGAAAGGTACTTTGAAAAGAGAAAAAACATCAGATAAGTAGGCTTGAAGAATGTTAATGTAAATTCCAGATGCAATTGCTAGCTTTAAAGTATATAACTGCTGTGAATTGTGGGAAGTTTATATGTGCAGTACAGAGGTTTTAGGGACCTATATATTTGTTGCCATTTCAACCTGGAGAGGTTCACACAGAGAAAATCTGCAGGGGAGGAAAGGAAAGCTTAGATGGATGTTTTTCAAGATTAAAGAATACATGGCTCCTTGTTGAATTAAAATCAACCCATTAATTTCTATACCTAGCTAAGGACTTTAAAATATTATTTAGACCATCATGCTGCTGCACTCACTTCAGTTATATGTGTGGACAAAACAAGTGTTGTTCAATAAACTAGGAAAATATAAGGTGTTGCCAGTAAAAATGGTAATAAATCCAATAACAGCTTTACTCTTCACTTCTGTACTTTCTGTGCTGAACCTAAACATTCAGCTCAAGGTTGTTAAAGGCCTGCTATTAAAAAGTTATAGTATCAAACAAATGTACCTTTTATTAACTATTTTCTAAACAATATGTGTAAAATATAAAATTAAAGTAAAACATACATACTATTTTATGTTTACAATATTCAAAATATTATTACATATAAAAAGACAAAAGATAAGGCTTCAAGAAATGTCCAGAATAAGGCTGTGTGTCATATTTTAAACTACACAGGTTAACACCTTTTTCTCTACAGAAAATTATTTATAGTAAACAATTCTCTAATGGGTTCAACTCATCAAAAACATTTTTTTTTTCTTTATCATTTTGACTGGAAAAATGAAATTCGTTTCCCCATAAGCAGCATACAGGGCTGTTAAGACAACAGAAAAACAACCAAGAGTGTGAAAAGAAGAACATTTCATTTAGTCAATGTTCATCAAATGTATGGAAAGCTCTCATAAAATGAATAAATGTGTTTTAAGGATCTTACCATTAGACTAAGAAGAAACCATTTTTATTTCTGTTTCTCTGAGTTAAAAAAAAAAACCTTTGCTTATCAAAATTAAAAGAAATTCAGATTAAGGTTTATAATATCTTTTATACATATTCCAATAGCTTAACTCTCTCTTTTAGCAAAGATATTTGTTTTAACAATCAAACCTATACTTTGTATTCTCATCTTTCAACTTCCTTTTAAAAAAAAATAAAAAAGGAAAATTTTTATAAACCTTGTTTATTTGATTAACAAGAGCTTACAGCAAAATGTTTATTGCTTAAACAAAATGTAGAATTTTTAACAATTTTTATTTATTCAATTATGTCAGGTATTCTATATATATATATATATATATTTCTTCAAAGAAGGAAGACTGAGAGATTAATTTGAAGGAGCTTAAAGCCACACTCCATAGAGTGGAGCAGCTGCTTGGTGACAGATCATCAATACTGAGCATAGGCACGTTGATTAACAGCTCCCTTCAGATCAATATGCATATTTGTAATCGAACATAGTAGGATCAGCCTCCAATATTGTAACTGTAAAGGACAGGGGAGGGACTACGGTAAAATTTTGCTCTGAAGTCTGGTTCACAGCATTGCATTGCAAACACTGTAGCAGCTCTACAGAATCTCTCACGCTTGAAGGAGGGCTCCCTAACAAAAGTTTACAATTGAGCAAATATGGATTTAATGTAGCCCTCCAGGATCTTGGTAGCCACCCTTAGCCAATTATTGGCCACCCATGTGGCCACCCCTACAATTTTTTCCCCCTCTAATACAGATGGTGGCAGGAGTAATACTCTGAAGTGCAATACTCATTTGAATTTTTCATGTGTTAGTTTCTATTTTTTTCATGTATTCATAATTTCCCGACAACAAAAACACTGGTTAATTATACACATCAATATAGTAACATTAAAGATGATAAGTACAGAATTCATGCTCTTTTCAGAACTAGATTTTGTGTTATATATGGTAAAGAGAAAATGATGTGTCTCTGCAAGTCATCTAGGAGTCTTCAGATAAATAAAAATTTTAATAAAAGCGTATTAAATAATCAATTTATGTAGATATTTGTACTTGTAAATATTAATTTTATGCAGAATGATTATCGACAAAAGTAGGTAAGTAATGAGAATGGAAAAGACGTTCACCCCAGAACTCACTTATGAAAGTATTTTATCCACTTTACCTTTTATTTAGAAAGCACAGATGCTTACATATATGCATCTATTTGTTAGCAAAGGCTGTAGGAAAGTATAGTTAGTCTTACCTTTGGCTTGACCGTGAGGTTCTGGTAACTATCCATTTTCGGCCACCCCTCAGTGTTCAGTGGTTATTGCCTGGCCACACTTATAAAACTTTTCTGGCTACGCCTCTGTAGCCCTCTGGCCGAGTAAAGGTTAAAACAGACAGTGGCAGAAACAACAGAAAACGAAGATCAAATAAATAAGAAAATAATAATAACATAGAAGCACTGATCCATGAATACTTTCCATTTTAGAGAAGATAAACTCCTATTAAACTAATTAAGTGTGAAAAGTTCTCACTATAAAATCCAAGCTCATTCATTACCATACAGCAACTTTACATTATCACATCTTCTGATCCTCTCATTATTAACATAAAGATGGAGATATTGTCATTTTTTTCCCTGTTTTCTATTTATAAGTTATGCAATGCATACATAGAAGTATAGCAATTATTGAAGATTCACCTTTAGCAGTTTGTTTTGTTTTGACAAGAAAGGTGGATTAAATAATTTTGAGATATAAAAAGTTTCCCAGAAAATACATAAGGCTGAGTTAAACGGTGGTCAGGAAATCTCCTGCAGCAGTAGTTAACACCTGCCCAAGTCACAATGACTTAACACACACGCCCACATCCAATCGATCAGGGTGCGCTTGTCACTTTTTCATCCAAATAAATGTAGCTGAGGCTGGTGTGGCGCTTAATGGAGCGATGCGCAGTCGGCTTCTGTACCCCCTGCGGACACGGACATGCCCACGTGCGCTTCAGCAGGTATTGACGTCATTAATTGCTAAGAGCAGATCGCTGTTTTTAGGGAATCTAGATCATCGTTTCTCTAGCGGTAATATTGAGAGTGAGCTCTGCTGCTGCTGCTGCTGCTTGTTTTAAAGTGGACACTTCTTCTTTGTTAGAGGATTTAAAAAACCCAAACAGATCTTAAACTATTTATGTGACCTGTCGGAAAATATTTATTACAGGTAAGTTTTATTTATTCTTCAGACAATGCATAAATATTCCTATTTAAGTAGTGTAAAATTGAAATACATAAATATGTATGAACAGCGTTTGTTTTTCCACAGGCAGCATGAAAAAGTGTATTTCTAGTTTCTTAATCTAACACAATCCAGACTTTTTAAAGAAAGTTGGACTATGTAAAAATCAGTTTATCTTCCACTATATTACTGGTGAGTTGAATAGCACTATTCTGAACCCTTTGGATGCTGTTCTATAGGGAGCACAGTAATTGCTCTTTTTTAAATTAGAATTAAATAGGATGTCAATGATACATTTTTCTGCTTCAATTATTGCTTAGGCTGATGTGCAAATGCACCAAAAAATAACATAAGAATACTGTAATTAGCAGAAGTTCATTACCTTAATTAACATTTTTTCCCTGAGCAATTTACAGTACTCCTACGTAAATTATTACTATAAAAGCTATAGGTTAAGCGATTTTTTATTTATTTTCATTGTGTAGGAAACAGGTGTTTGCTTTATTGCATGAAGCTTTGAACTGCATTCTGAAAATATAAATGTATAAAAACAGTCTCCTGCATGCAAACTGTTTTAAGTGAATACAATTTAGCAGAACTGTTGTAAATATATTTAATAGATATAACGTCATATACTAAATCAAGATCACTTCAGGTAAGTATATTTCAAAAACATTTTGAATGCGTTTTTACACATATTTTTTGGGTTGAATCAAACTTTATACTACTAAAATACTCCACAGTAAACCTGGTGATTTAAGTCAATGATGATTCTCTTTATTGTGGATAAGAAAGTACTCAAAGTACACAGTTATGTCTCACTCACAAGTTCTGGAAGTGTATTCACATTGCTAAGGAAAAAAAAAAAAAGCAAAAAATGTTTTGCGCAGGAATGAATCAAAAAAAGGTCTAGAGCTCCTGCCAAAATACAAAGCATGATGAAGCCTTGACCTTGATCTATGCCTTTCGAAATAAAAAAAACTGGAAAACAGGCATTTGGTAGACACTAAACATATACAATAGAAAACTGCAATTTACCTTTGTATTTATATTCTTAATTTTTTTCATTTCTACTTGCCTTAAAGAACTCATATAATAAGTGATATAAAAAAAAATAAATAAAAGGCACAATATCTGAAATATGTTGCCTTAACAAAACCAAAATCTACTACTTTTAGATGGGGATTTTGGCTGAAGGCATGGCATTCCACTCCAGCATACCTGTGCCTCTGGATATAACTGTGGCCGTGGTCTACTCTGTTTTTGGTGAGTTAAGTCTCGAATTTTAAAGCTAATTTTGACTGTTTTTAAATGATCCTTGAACAGACCAACAGCTGAGTTAATAATGTTTTAGATTAGTTTTCAGCGAGCTCTGCTCAAGCAAGAATGAATCACAGCATGAAAAAAATACAGCCCAACATGAAGCCTTGATAGTTCAGTTTGGCTGTTAAGTATTATGGATTCAACACTTATTTTAATACACCATTTGATATCTACTTAATATTCAATTTGTATTAGCTGTAATATAAATGTATTTATTTGTCCCTTTTATTTTTGTTTGATTCTTGCTTCTGTTTAGTCTCTATATCCTTAATAAGGCAGGATTGCATGTAATATTATCAGACACCAATAAAAAAAAAACCTGATTACAAATTCTTTACATCACAATTACAAAAAAAAAGAAAAAATCTCCCAAGGTTAAGTTTCATCACAGGTTTTGATCTTGGCTTTATTTCTATGCAGTTTGCATAGCTGATCGTTGATGTAGCGTACCCATTACTGAGGTTTAATACCCCCTGCTGTTACCCTAGAGTAAGTTTTCTTAAATGTCTTGTTCTAAGTAGAATAGACAAAATCCCATAGTTGTGATGTATCATGTAATCGCACTGTGATCCCTTAACTAGTCTTTTTACTCAGTGCAACCTTTTCCAATTATTTGAATCTAACTTTGTAATTCTGTCATTTCTATGCCTTCAAAAGTTAAAAGAAGTGGCTATAAAATTAATTCTTTGATTTATAGGCATAGGGTATTCATAAAAGACAAAAAAGATGCTTCAAAACTAATATATATATGTATTTTTTATGGTCCGCTGATAGTTTTGCTGTCCCAGTTTTGCTACCTTTAGACTGAGCCAGACTGGCAGTTTTCCTTGAAAGGTATGAATTTTTTTTTTTTTTTTCACTGTTTTGCAGGGATATGTTCACTATTTGGAAATACTACATTGCTGTATATCTCCTACAAGAAAAAACACCTTCTGAAACCTGCAGAGTATTTCATCGTCAATCTCGCTGTTAGTGACCTGGGTCTCACCATGTCACTTTATCCCATGGCCATAACCTCAAGTTTCTACCACAGGTAGTGTGCTTACCTTAACCCCTTGAACCCTACGGACCCACCGGCAGGTCCAGCTGCTACGTGACCTCGTAATTTTACCAAACCCCCAGTATTGATGTAAAAAACACATTTGGCACAGTTTGGTGACATTTATGGATAAATGTGCCAAAATGGCCTCTCCGCCTAATAAATTTCTCACTAATACCATTCTAAAATAAATATGATTCATCTGATTGAGTCCAAATTTGGTATATTTTTACACAACATTTAGATTTGAAAGTCTGTACTACTTTTTTGTGCTATAAATAATATTTTGGTAGTGTTTTGCAATGTTTATTTCAAAGAAAATTTTGGCGAGGTTCAAAAAATGCAAAATATTTTGTATTTTGTCCCTAATATTTCAGGCAGGGTCAAAGCTACAATGGTGCTGACACCAGAAAACCATTCTATGACATCTTACCTTTACAGACGTACCAAAAGTTTCTTCTTAAATTTAATAGCTTTGAGGCTATAAGTTATTTACTTTTGTGTGTTTTTGTCAGGCAGAAATTTATTTATACCCCCTTAGGGTGTAAGAGGATATGATATAGCATTACAATAATTTTGAAAACTAAACTAAAAAAGCTTCAGAGCTTTCTAAGAGATTCTCTAAACATATCATGGCTGTTTAATGCATGATTGATCAACTTTATTATTGCCAGCAGGTTCAAATTTATGGGGCGACCTGTTCAACCTATTATTTTGTGTTTCCCAACCTGCTCCCTCGATTAACTCTTTATAGTCTCTAATTTGCACTATTTTCTTTCTCACATACTTCTTCATGCAGGTGGCTGTTTGGGAAAACATTGTGTTCCTTATATGCATTCTGTGGCATGCTCTTTGGCCTCTGCAGTCTGACCACTCTAACCCTACTAAGCATTGTCTGCTTTGTGAAAGTTTGCTATCCCCTCTATGGTAAGTTTTTCAAGGAAACCATCTTTGCAACCTAGTATGATTAGCCACCATCACTTTTCTATAAGAGAAGAGGCCAGTAGTTGATTTGTCGATGGAAATAGAAAAATAATCCCTTAGTGGAACACATTAGCCTTTCTTTTTGACTGTCAAGTGAAGTGGCTGCAGTCGATAAATGTTACCTGTGATGCTGGTTAATGGTGTGTGACGGTTCTTTAATCAGGCCTGAAGAAAGTGTTATTTGTTTAACCTCACAAAAAACATCTACGTGTACCTGCAGCTTTGGGAAAATGGAAGAACAGATTCCTTCTTTTTTTCCTCACACATGATGTTTCAAATCATAAACTAAATTTATCATAAGACATGTCCTCTGTAAATTAAAATAAAAAGCAGTTTGAGTTAAGTTTAAAGGGTGAAAAAATGATTATGATTATGTATTTTGAACATCCTGAACAAAACAGGTTTAAGAAAAAAAACAAAACAATAACTATTTTAAAACGAAGTAGGAAGACTGCTGTGCAAATGCATGAATTCACACAGTAAATTCAAAGAGTCCTGGAAAAACAAAGATGTGACTAGCAAACTAGAATTAGTTTAACACACACAAAAACAAAATGCACATGCAAAGAAAAAAAACACTGCAAAGGAGAAATGCAGCAACCGCAGAAAATAGAGCACCAAGGAATAAATAGCATGCAGACAAAAAACAAAAAGTGTTTAAAAATGATTTGAAGAAACGCTTACCATGTTTTTTCCTTTCTCCTAATGTCGTCTGGATGGCAAAGAAAACAACAACAACAAAAACTAGGTCTGAAATGTGCATATACCGCTTTCCACACTAAGGTTCTCATATATCCAAAGCAAATTAGGCATGGAAATGTATGGGTCCTCACGCCAACTCCGATCTATGAGTACACATCTTTTGAAAGGAAACTGAAAAAGTGGACATAGACATAGAGGTGAAGATTCAAAGTCAGATTAGGTCCTCTCAGATGTTAAGTATTACTTTACATAAAATGTTAATCTTAGCAATACATTTATAGGCATCAAATATTAAGGTGTAATCCATACTCTCACTGGTGAACCATAACTATATACTGTATCAAATACAAAGTCCTATAAGCAGCTCAAGTCCTCAATCAAAGTGAGGACAATTAGAAGTTTTCTCACCTTCACATGAGTTGTACTATTGAACATAAATTCCACAAATTGTGAGGCATTCACTAATTGCTGTAAACATTTTAATACTGTTGTTCGATGTGCATAATGGTGCACAATGAATGCTACTTTGCTGGAGGACTTTTGAAATTGTAGAATTAGGAAGGAATGGATTTTCAGGGCTCACCAACATTTCCAGACCCATGATGATGACTGGGTTTTTCAGCTGTTCAAGCTTCCAGAGCATTGCTTTTGAATATATATGTGCTTAATCCGTTGACTTATACAATTCCTGCTTTGTATTGGTGTTAAATTAAAGAATGTCATCGGCACAACTGCCCGTGGAGTTTTTCCTCTCCACTGTTGCTTCATGCATGCTTGGTGTAAGGGATTGCTGCATTGTCAAATGATGCAAAGTTAATTATTCTATACAATCTGATGGTTTTCCATACACAGAAAACTTTTAACCCCTCTGACTATATGATCTGGATAGATTTTTTCTGTAAAGTGCCTTAAAATGACATGTTGTGAATTCTCGCTATATACATAAAATGAATTGAATCAACAAAACATCATTATGCATTACTATTGTTGCATTAGTATGGTTATTTTTAGCTATTATAAACTAACTATAATAGAGAGTTATGACAAAAATAAAAACAAAATAAATGTTTAAGTGAAGCAAATTTTCAAATACTAGCACTTAGTTTTAAGCACCAAGGTTTTATGACTTCAAAGATACAAACAAAACCACTTGAAAAATTGTAGATTTTTTTTTAACACACCAGGACATTATAGAAAATTACATTTATTATTATTTATTTTCTAATACCATCCTTTTTGCAGAGTATTGTGTAATATATTTGTAACTCATTTGAAAAACCATTTGATTAACCTTTGTTTCAAATGATGAAAATAATTAGCCTTGCACTGCTGTACCAGTGCTCATACAGTTTTGCAATTATCAATCCATATAAATACCTCTATTATTCCAACAGATCTGATAATTTGTTTGCCTTCTATCAAACTAAAAAAAAAGACTGATTCTGGTCTTTATATACATGAAAATATATAGTCCAAATTTAGTTGCATAAAACTAATATCCATCTTGCCACAAATTGCCTGGTGTTTTTAATTGAAATTCCTTTGTGTTAGAACACCTATTCATGGTTACGCATTGGAGAAATAAAGTCAGTTCATTTACACAGTGTATTAATACTTTAGTTTTATAAAAAAAGACCATGAACAAAGCTTTAAGGATCCTACAATGAATATTTTAATATATAGTGTGCACACATATAGCCAGTGTAACAGTCTAGACTGAAGTTATGAAAAAGATTTTAACCGAGGTCTGCTCTCCTTTCTGCTGATGAACTCAGTAAGTGATTTGTGGCTTTAATGATCCTACCTACTGGTTTAAAGTTGCTACACAATAGGTGACATATAAACGGGTCTTTTTTTTATTAAAACATGTTATTGCGAGAAAGCGAACAAGATACAAACTACTGTGTAGGCAATTATTTTGAGAATCTGGTAGTAATAGCATTTTTTACATCTTATTGATTAGTACACACATTGAAACCTATGGGTCTAAAAGAGTCTCAATATTCACAAATACTAAGAAAAGATTAACTGCTGTTATTAACATTATAGCATTACTTCCAGTGTATTGTAAAAGTAACGTTTGACCTCTTATGTATGTTATTTCCCCCCACATTTTGTTACATTACAACTACAAATTTTCCATTCACCATATTTTCAAGGACAGTAGATGATATTGAGGTGCTTTTCTTTAGAAGACAAAGGAAGGTGAGCAGAGGCTCATCCTCTGTGCAAAACCAGAAGAGATATTCAAAATACATAAAGCAGTTGCTGCAGAGAACTGCTACATTCAAAAATGAAGCCTAAAAATTTGTATTATAGGAAAAGGTTTTAGGATTGTGAGTACACTACTGACATTCCACTTTCACACAGATCTTTGTATTTTAAGGAGGAAGTTTTTTATTTATTTATTTATGGGTTAACTGTAAGGATAAACAGATGACAGACTTTAAAGATGTGTTCTCATTAGTAGATAATAATAAAAAAAAACTGTTTGCCTTTGCCCTATCTCATTATAACTGCTCATAGTTAAATCAGGATTAGAAATGTTGCATGAAATACCGACACGCAACATGTTTAGTCCTCCTAGTGCTGGCGAATAACACCAATAACATAACATAGCTCCTAACTGTTCTTCTGGTCTGCAACATTGGACTATTGAGATTCCATTAGTCACACAACCTTGGCATACATGTGCAGTGACGCAGATCTTTGTTAAGAAAGAAAAATTCCCTTTACTATATCTGAATGAAGAAATTGTTCAGCTGGTGGACATTTTTTGACCCATGACAGTGCTATACAGTTCTCTTTTTTTCCTTTCTGAATATTGGATGATCCAGCTTTCAGCAGAGTTTTGGTTTACCTCAGACCTATACCGTATAAATAAGGTTGTTTTACTTGAGGAGCTATCTGATTAATGTAAAGTTGCCCTAATATTAGCTTTTTTGTTTCTTGAGACCTTCGCAGCTGTTATTTTAATACTTGACATATGAGGCTTAGATGGAATGCAGTCAAACTCTGACATTCTGAAGTTACTAGGTTATTAGTCTATTATATTAAAGGCAAAGTATTAGACCCTCCAGAAACACAAAGAGGTGTGACTGGGGTCATCTACCATCCAATATATTCTATTAATTTGAAGTGAAAAATTTCCTAAACATTCATAATATTACAATATGTATATTATTAATGATTATTAATAATATACATAATTAATTACAGTTTATGTCTGTTTTGATAGGAAACAGGTTTAAGCCTCTTCATGGCCAACTGCTCATCGCCTGTGCTTGGGTTTATGCACTGCTGTTTGCCTGCTCCCCACTGGTCCACTGGGGAGAGTACGGACCAGAACCCTACGGCACCGCCTGCTGCATTGACTGGCGCTTGTCCAATAAGCTTAGCATAGCCCGCTCGTACACCGTAGCACTCTTTGTTTTCTGCTACATCCTTCCATGCTGTGTAATTGTTGCATCATACACAGGCATCCTGGTCACCGTGCAAACATCCAGGAAGACCATGGAGAAGCATGCATCAAGACAGACAAACATGAGCAGCATCCAGACAATTATAATTAAGGTAGGAGAAAAGCTATGAAATTATCAATGAAGGAAATCTTGAATTACATTGAGACTGATTTACTATTTTTCTCATGTCCCACCGTGCTGGAAACACAAAAAGCTTATTATAGATAATATAGATAATTATAATTATAGATAATAAAGCTTATTCAAAAAGAAAATTAACAAAGGAAATATAATTGAACCACTTTTACTGGGATTTCCTGAGTTTCAAATGAGGGAAAAAAACATATTTAAGCATAATTTTAGCAGTTTATTAAATCTTCCTAGCTTGAAATAACCTCTATAGTAATTATAGGCATTCACAGTAAAAATGCATGTAAAAATGCAGATTTAAAAATTCACATTTTTATTGTAATTTTTCACACTAAAACTTAAAAATAAAAGAAATCAAAGAAAAGAGAATCTTAAATATGACCCCTTATTATTCTAAACCTCACCTTTTCAAGCATTTTTCTTGAACATTTCACAAAGCTGGAGCACAGATCTTTGACTAATCCCCTTTTTACGGAAAAATGGTTGATACATGTCTTTTTTATTATGATTGTTAAAATTGTAGTCATGCTAAAATATCTAAATGCAACACATTACCGGCCACAACTTGAAATAGGATAGTTGTAAAACATTCCAACAAGGTCTTAAAGGCCTTTATACTAAGAAGCTGAACCATAGCATGACAGATCCTCCACTGTACTTCAGTTTGAACATATAGAACTAATCCACATTACCACGCTTTATTTCATCACAAAGGTTAAGCCAAAACAAGTTTCTAGTCAACATTCAAAGAGTGTTTCAAATACTCTATAATGTTACACTTTGGACAGCAGGAAAGCTCATAATGGAGACCAGATGAACCCTGATTATATGGGATGCCTGTCATACCAGTGTACCCCTGCTGCCAAATATTATAGTTTAAATTGTGAAATATCAACTCACTTCATTCCAGCTCTTGAGAAGTAATCAAGATTAACCACGTTTGAGTTAACTATTCCCGTAATTTAAAAATTTTCATTAAATACTTTGCTTTGTGTTTTTGTTTTTTTTTCAAGCTAAGTGTTGCTGTCTGCATTGGCTTCTTTGCGGCGTGGAGTCCCTATGCTGTCGTTTCCATGTGGGCTGCCTTTGGAGAAATAGAAGACATCCCTCCTCTTGCGTTTGCAATGCCTGCTATGTTTGCCAAGTCATCAACCATCTACAACCCAATCATCTACCTTATTCTGAGACCTAATTTCCGCAGAATCATGTACAGGGACCTGGGTACATTATTTCAAAGATGTCTGAAAGGATGCCTCATCTTCAAGGGCCAAACAAAGTGTTGCCCAAAACCAAACATCATGCTCAGACGTCACATAGCCCACAGACAAACCAACCAGTTCCCCTTATCTATCTCCTCTACTCAGCCACCTCTAGTAAACCTAAAGGATCTCAGGTGCCAGAGATGTACGGACAGTTACGAATGCTGCAAAAACTATCCTCAGGTGTGTGGAAACACTAATCTACCCACCAATTCAGACTCATCAATCGAAAGAGAAACTCCAGTGTTACAAACAATCGGTCAGATGTGTGAGAATGAGCCTTCTAAGAAGTCCCTAATAGCCACCGTAAGGACTTCAGATACAAACTATTTCAATATCAGCTTTGAGATGGCTCCAAGGTACATGAAAGAGGCTTGGCCCTGACACTATTTTTATATGTGACATATTACCATATCTAGTAACATCCATCCATCCATCCATCCATCCATCCATCCATCCATCCATCCATCCATCCATCCATCCATCCATCCATCCATCCATCCATCCATCCACCAGTCAATGTGAGAGGGCTCACTCGTTACAAGTTGTTATTCCATATTAGGCTCAACACAGAAATGGATAAACAAGTAATATGGGACATTTAAGGGAAATTTAGGTTTTTTTTTTTTTTTAATGTTGGAGGAAACTAGTCATCAGAAAACCAAACTCTACTCAGTTATACTATCATGCTTAGTTTAATTTGAGCCCTGCTAGTGCCCAGTTCTAGGTGGTGGGATACACCTTGGAAAGGTTGCCATTGTCTCAAAGGTTCAGAACAAACTACCATGTACAAAGACACTAATAATTATGGTAGGTTTTACAATAACACCAACAACTTGCTTTTTAACTGTAAGAGGAAACCAGGGAACTCAGAGAAAACCTATTCTTCATAATTCAGTCCTCCCTGCAGCCTGCAATGTTTTTTAAACAAGATTCAGGAATTTATGCAATACTCCTGTATGTTTTTTTTTTTTACATCAGCCGTGTTCTATATCTGTGCAGTCGTTTAGCTAATAGTTGTTTTGCTATGAACAGAAACTGGAAGGGAAAAAAACCATATTGAATAATGTGTACCTCTTGATCCATTTCTGAGTCCTTATCTTTGAAAGTGGTTTTAGACTTGTTACTTAGTGTTGTTTTATTCAGGCTAGATGGTTTTAGGTGAAAAGGTTTGGTCATGAATTTTATCACTAGGTGACATTTCTATCAAATTTAGTACCACCTGATATAAAAAAAAAGTAGGTTTCTATAAGAGAATTTAAAAATAGGCTTTAAAGTTCAAACATTTGATTTTTCTTGTTTAAATATTTAGGCCTGTTTTAATCATTTTAGCAGCACTAAGGTATAACAACTTAAAACCACTTCCAATCTAATATTTTGTACTTATATTCAATAAAACAGAAAATACTTCCCCACTATTCTATAGCGTCACATTTGTGATTGCCACATTATAGAGATTGAAGTACCACGAGCAAGAACAACTTTATTTCTTTGAAGGTTTTCTTTTATTTTATGTGCAGAGAGCCATCTGCAGTTGTAAAGAGGGTGGTGCATCCTCATTTAAAAACTATACAGGACGTTGCATTTGTGTAACAATAACAGGTGTTGTGGATAGTCTTAACAATGGAAATCCCATTTTTACTCCATTTCTAGTTCAGGTTTCTAATTGCGAAGTTTTAGAACCCCGAGCCTTTGAAATGTGCCTTCATTTCTAAAACCCAGTAAACAAGAAATAATATAGAGAAAAAAAATATATGTTTAGCAGAATAAAATAAATGGACAGTATTTATTGTAACATCATTCCAGAAGAAATAATGTTCTACTTCAAATAAACATAACATACATAGAACATACTTCAATCAAAGTCCGTTAAAAGAAAATACATTTTAATCCATTTCAAGAAATAAAGCTTTTAGAAAATGATGAAAAGTAGTCCATTGTAACGATAAATAAAACAGCTCATTAAAATCAAAATAATGCAACATCATTATAGTAAGTCCTGCAAAGACCCTTAAAACTATGAGATGAGAAAATATGAATGATTACTTTTGCTTTTCAGTCATTCAGGGAAAATTAAATTCTTGTAAAACAAAATGTGCAACAAGGTTTAAATTCATTGGAAGAAAGTTTTAGCTTGTGTTTTAACGGCATTCATTTATTACAGGAATATTGCACTGCAGGGTTTTTATACTGTTGTAAGGTTTTTGTGTCATTGTGTACTGTAAATGCTCACTGAGTTAATTTGAAACCTGCATCATTTGTTTGTACTTGACTGGAATAAACATTGGATAAACATAGAAACTTGTTTTTATTGTTCCAAAAAGTAATAACAACCCCCCTGCACCAACACTACGCACAAAGCTCCTATTACCCTATCACAAGTTTGGCCAAGACAACATCTGTAAAGTGAACTACAAAGAAAATAACATGTTAATGTTTTTTTATTTTTTTTTTTTTTTGGTCATTGTCTTATCAGAACTAGTCCAAGAAGTTTTAAAATGGCTTTTAGCGCTAGTATTTTTTTTTTTTAAAGCAACTCTAAAAGGGGGGCTCACTAAAACTTACCTTAATAATCACTAGAAATTATGATATCATTATGTAACTCAGTGACTCAATGACTTACCTTTACAGTTAACATAGCCAGTATCACATAATTACATCCCATGAACCCAAAAGTCAGCTTGCCTTAAAAAATTAACTTTAATTGTAGTTTTGATAATATGACCACTTTTAAGTGGGAACTACTGAGAAGAGTCACACAAGTCCAATATTTTTCGGATGACATCTAATTTTATGTTTCCTTGAAGCGCTTGAAAAAGCCTCCCAAGGGTGCAGCTCATGGATCCCTCTTTCATTTTCCAATGCTCCAGCATCTGGTGCACCATCTCTGGCAAGCCGTCTCTGTAGTAGTCGTGTTCTATGGTTTCTATTTCCACCTCTGTCAGACCCAGGCCTCTCGCACAGCGTTTCCATTTCATCCCGATGTTCTCCCTTAGCACATCCAGTTGTACCTCTTTGACCACATAGTCCGCTGAATGAAACAGAAGACAGGAATTGAAAAATGAAAAGTTTGCTTTAAGTGCAATTTGTTGGAGCTATTAAGCCGCAGTGAATTCCTGCACCAACAGTTCTAACAGTCACGTTAAAACGTTCATTTTTTTGGCAAACCAGTAAATACCGTATAAATAAAGCTTTGAAGTTATAAGTCTAAAATATATGTAGATCAAAATCTACTATTGTAAACAGAAATAAAATTAACTCTTAAAGTTTAAGCATTTAAAAACAGAAGTCTTATAACCAAAAATGTAAAATCTAGAAATGTAAATATTTTTTAAAGAGCGTTCACTGTACTAATACTATATGGTGTTGCAATAATTGAGAAGCCCTGAATTCAAGCTGTCAAGGTGCCAGTTGATTGAACTAGTCAAACTATTTGATATTGATCTAACCGCACCCACACTGCACTGTGGGTAATTTGCACTGATTTTAATGATTTGGGTTCCATGCAGTGCCTGGACAGCGGCAAGCTCTACATCAAAGGAAGAAATACTGCAGCTTACAGTAAGAGAGCTATGATACGGTCAATGAAACATCGGATATTTTGACTTGAACTAACTCAGGCAAAGAGTTCTAAAAAAATAAGACGCATTGTTCTGGAATAAAGGGCAAATGGCATTGTCAAAAACACAATCTTTCTCAGCAGTTGTAATGACAGTGGTCAAGAACTTTGTCTGTAAACTAATATCTTGGCCTTTAAAGACTATGAAAAACTTTAATAACTCATCTCATGTGATGTTGAACCAGTACCTCTACTGTGATTGTTCTTAAACAAAAGCCCACATGGAGTGAACCAAATACTGGACCCAGCTGATGTATGCAATGTCTCTAAATATACAAATATCTCTCTACATATACATTGACACACGTACTGCTGGAGACTGAAAGCGAAATATAAAGAAATACTGCTGCAACTTTAGTTAAAAAATGAACAACAACTTAAATTATTTTAACTAGAGAAGTTCATGCATTAATGTCAGATATGTTGACCAGCATACAACAGGTTTAGTGGATCTATACCAAATTAAAGAGAAAAGGGTTATCTACTGGGGGTAAGGTATTCATTGCTTATAAACTTAATTTTGGAACTCTTAACCTATCAATTTTAAATCCTCTTGAATTATACTCATTATCGCACTGTAAAACTACTCAATACTAAGCCATTACCATCTTTCAAATCTGAATATGATCTTTACATTACAACAGAAAAAAAGAGTTGCAGACTGCGGTAACAAAAGGAGCTCTCTCATCCTACCATCTTTAAATTAGCAATTAGGCTGGTAGGTGTTCTCTTGTGCAGAACAGTGAGAAGCAACAGTGAGTAACAACAGATCGTCCCTCTTGAATGACTTTTCGTCCATTTTGCAAAAGCTGAAGAGAACATCAAGACGGCAGTCGTACAGTAGTGAGTGAATCATGAGAGTTGACCTCTGCAAACAGCTGCAATTCCACAGGGAGATAATTGGAACCTTACTCTGGCCAGACCTAATGATGCGCTACCAGCCATGCCAGTCGATCTTGTCTAATGGAGCTCACTGTGCAGTGGAAGAAAGGGATGAAACACAGAGTGCAGAGAGAAGTGCTGGAAAGCAATCACATGTCCTGTCGAAGTGGGATGCAGGCACCTCCACTGTTCGCCTGATCGGTGACATGGAGTGCACGTGAGTAGCTTGTTAGAAAGTAGCTAAAGAACCAGTCGAAGAGAGGAAAAAAGGCATCGTCTGGTCGTGGCAAAAAAGGAAGTCCCTCAAAAACAATTGACCCTAAATATCAACAGAGGGTGGAGAGGAGAAATCTCTGCCATCACTCTACCACCATAAGATTCACTAAGCTTAACAAACCATAACTATGGTAAGAGGTCCTAAACTGGTTGCTCTTTTGTACCCACAAAGATGTTTTAGGGCAAAGGAAGCAATGTGCAGGAGGTAAACTAGCTTCATAAGTCCATAGTCAACAATCTTCTCTGAGCTGCACAGCTGGTGAGACTTATGCTCCAATTTCCAATGAAATAGTCAAAAGTCTACATTAGTAACAGAATTATCTTTACCACTGTTATGCTATAAGCCCTAATATTGAATATTAATTTTGGACACTGAGGACCAATGTCTATTTCTGTTTACTGCTAAAAAATGCAGATTTACTACTATACCATCCCTCACCAAAACCTTCCCAGAAACTAATCCCAGCGACATGTGATGCTGCCCCCACCGTGTGGGGATAAAAGGCTCTGCTCACAGATTTCCCGTCATCTTTGCCCGTGGGATTCCGAAGGACAGAATCACATCGGGGAGAACAAAGACAACATGGTTAAATAGACTTTATTCCTC